AGGATAGGTGAACAGCCTGGTGTGGACTTGGAAAGCCAGGAGAGGAGCTTAATTCTTTTCTGAGGGCAATGGGGAGTCACTGAAGGTTTCGAAGCAGGGCAAATGGCATGACCAGAGATGCAGTTTTAAAAGGTCACTCTGGGCAGCATGAAGAGGTTGGCCAAGAAGGGACTAGGGGAAAAGGGGACCTGCCTCATGTCACTCTTCTCTCTTTCCCATCAGCTCCCTTGAAGCAGCCACAAGAGACCTCAACCTTCACATGTCATCCCCTCTCTCTTTTTAGGTTTATCCAGTAAAGATTGGAATTTGAGGGCTTTAGGCCCAGGCATCAGAGTGGACCATGGTCCCCAATCCATGGGGCCATGTGCGTGGCCTCCTGCTGCTGTTGCTGCTGCCGTCTCTGGGAGCTGGCCCTGCCCTGGGCCGGGGTCACCTTGGGCCATATGAGGACTCGGAACCACACCTGATTCCAAGAGCCCACCCCAAGGGCCCTGTTGGCACAGAGCCCCAAGCCTTCGACTTCCTCTGGGAAAAGCCCATAGATGAGAGCCCCTGGAACTCCAATATCCCTCAGGTCCCTGCTGAAGAGTTGCCTGAGAAGCTCACAGACTCTCCCTTTGGCCCAGCCCTGCTTGGACCTAAAGCAGCCCAGGGGGCTCAGAGAGGACTCCTAGTAACCGATGACCTACAGGTGGCTCGAGGGCCAAGTTCTCAGGGCTGGACAGGATCTCCCGACTCTCTGGAGCCTCTGGAACAAGACGCACCAGTGCCCCATCCAGTGGGCCCTCCCCATCTCGCTTTCATCACCACAACTCCCAAACTCCAACTCAGGGTAGCCACACTTCCTCTCTCCCCAGGGGAGCCTGGAGACCAAGTGGGACAACAACCACTTAGAGATGAGGGTGTGGGGGCCAAAGCCAAGAACAGGGTCTCAGAGACATCCTCCTTAGCCCACCAGGGTCATCCCTATACTCTTGCACCCCACTCGGGCACTATCAGGAGGCAAGTGCTGGAAGAACAGGGTAAGGGTGAGCAGGACTTCCAGGAGGCAGCTCAAGGCCCCCTCTTCACACAGCAGGATCCAGTAGCCCCTGAGGCTGGCTTGGTATCCCCAGTTGAGGTGGCATCCACTCAGGAGCCTGGGTCCCAGCCAGACCTGGCATTGGCCAGAAGCCTTCCTCCTGCTGAGGAGCTGCCAGTTGAACCCCCCAAGAAGGCTGGAGGTGAGGAGACCTGGGAAGTCAGTTTTCCAAGTCCCTCACCCAAGCAGGTTGACTTCCCTGATGTTCAGGGCTCACCAGGACCCCAGCCCTCAGGTCCCCCAGCCTCAGAGACTCCTGATCAGCAGCCTAAGCCAGGTAGGTACCAAAGTGAGAGTGCTGAACAGGGCAGGGAGGGGCAGTGTTCCATGGCAGCTGGCTGCCCCAGTTTCCGTGTGCCTTCTGATCCCCATGGGTCCCATTTTCCTCATTCTAACAAATGAGGGTGATTGTGGCTCCCTCCTGGGGACTTAGAATTGGGGAACCACTGGAGGGTCAGGCAAAATGATGACTGCTTTTGTCATTTCAGAGAGAGCAGCAATGAATGAAGCAGATCCCATCTCTCCCCAGCGGGTGAGAGGAGCAGTGGAGGCCCTGGGTACCCCCAAGTCCCTCATCCCTGGCCCCTTGGACACTGGCCCAGCTACAAACCGAACAGAGAGCCCCGTGAGGGCCCTACAGCCAGGTGAGGGCATGGCTCGGGTTTTGGGGAGAGCAGGTATTCTGTCTAATAACTAAGAACCTGTGTGAGGTCTAAATGGGGTGGGGTGGGGAGTAAGTGGAGACAATCACCTCCTTAAAGGAATTGGCTAGGACTTCCTTCAAACAACTTGAGATAATAAACTAATACTCACTGGGTACTTTGGGAGAAGTCATTTGCCCTTTTGGAGCTAGAATGTTCTTAAAAGTAATCACCCAAGGAGCTTTTTAAAAATTCCAGTGCCAGGCCCCATCCTAATGAGTTCTGATTCAGTTGGTCTCCAGGTAATCCTAATATGCAGCCCAGGTTGTGAAATCCTGGTATATTATTAATAAAAACGATAGCTCGCATCCACTTAACACTTATTGGCACTATGCTAAGCATTCGATCCTCAACACAACCCAGTGAGGTCGGTGCGGCTACTATCCCCATTTTGCAGATGTGCTTTGAAGAGTTAAATAACTTGCCTACCACACTAGGGAATAATGGAAAATCAAAAGCAGTTTTCAAAGGGCTATTTTAATATTGTTATTATTGCAGATGAAACCGAGGAGTGGCCGGGGCGTCCCCAAAGCCATCCTCCAGCACCCCCAGTCCAAGCCCCCTCGACATCACGCCGGGGCCTCATTCGGGTCACCACGCAGCGTGCCCTGGGTCAGCCACCCCCTCCGGAGCCCTCAGCCAGCCTCATGGCATCAGCCCCAGCCTCCAGTCCCCCGGCCAATGCCACCGCACCCCCCCTGCGCTGGGGTCCACTGCGGAGGGTGCTGAGCTTTTCCTGGGAGCTGCACGTCTACGGAGTGGGGGTGCTATTTCTGCTGCCTGCATTGCTGGCACTGGCCTCTCTGACAGCCGCCCCTGCGGGGCCCCGGCTGGCACTGGTGGCCGCGGTGCTGGTGCTTGTAGCATCGGGACTGCGATCTGCTTACATGCTCGCCGACCCGTATGGCTCTCAGGCGCGGCTGGGTTTACGCGCGGGCCTGGTGCTCTACAACCTACCTTTCCCCTTGCTGCTCACTGCCCTGGCAGCCCTGACCCTGCTCGGCCTGGGTGCCGGGCTGCCACAGCAGCTGCAGAACCCGCTTCTACTAGGAGCAGTGGCATTGGGGCACGGCGGGGGGTTACTCGCAACAGATCTGCTGTCGGCGACGCCGGCGCTCAACCTCCTGGTTCAGGGCTTCTCCTGCGCTTGGGGCGCGGCCGTGGCTCTGGGCACGCTCTGCCTGTGCCGTCGCCGCCTGCTGGACGGGCCGCGGGGCCGGAATGCTAGCCCGGGACCGCGGCTGCTGGCAGTGGCTGGTGCGCTGGGACTGCTGGCCAGTGGCTTACAGCTGGCGGCCGCGCTCTGGCTGTACCCGGGCCCAGGCCGCGTGGGCCGCTTCTCGTGGGCCTGGTGGGGAGTCCACTTCTGGCTGCGCCTGCTGGAGCTGACTTGGGCACTCACCCTGGCGCTGGCAGCTGTGGCCGCAGCGCGGCCCAGGCCGCCCACGGAGCATGCGTGCTGGGCTAAGCTGCTGCGCCTGGCCTGCCCCGCGCCCTCTGGCAAAAGCGAGGTCCCGGAGCGACCCAACAATTGTTTTGCGGGGCCCAGTGGCGTCGGCGCAGGCAGCCTGGACATCAGCAAGAGCCTCATTCGCAACCCCGCGGAGGTGGGGCCGCCTGTCACGCCCAGTTCAGGGGCCTGGGGCTCGGCTACGTCGTTGGGCCACGGTCCCCAGGGTGGCCCGGGGCTGTCCCGCAGCAGCGTGGGGCCGGCACCGTCGATGAGCGAGCTAGACCTGCGGCCGCCGTCGCCCATCAACTTGAGTCGTAGCATCTGCCGCGCTC